TGGCTATTTCATGAGTGATAGCGGATGGAGTATTTGCCACTCGCACTCTTTCCAAAATATCCCCCTCGGGAGCCACAGTTCGGGCAGTTCTTCTGGGAGCAACATAATGCCTTGTTATACTCAATGTACCAGTTTCTTGCATTCGCCTTTCAATATTTGGAAAAATTATCCTGCTGGGGTGTCGTTTATTAGGAAATTTTCGACGATAAATTCATTCAGCTCTGCAAGTATAACAATAGGCCTCACCATACACAAGAAGCATATCTGTTAGTTCAGCAAAAGTGTATTCCATATTTTTTTTCTCTACCAACAACCAAGACAGGTATTTAAGAACTAACGTTAAATTTCAACTCGAATAAATGCACACTTTGTTAAAAAAGTTATTTTTAGAATGGACAAGAACATTTACTTGGAGTATTTTCGAGGGTAAGTAATGTACTTTGTGACATTTTAGAGACAATGTCATTTCATGTTTTGTTTAAGTTTTCATAAAGAAACTCACTGTGATAATTTTTTGGATATCTTCTCTAAGATTTTGTCACTTCAACTCTGAAACACGCGGTATAATTTAAAAATATATCTACTGCAGGGTTAAAAATGAGTATTTGGATCCTTTAACTCATACCAATTTTTAGAAAAATAATATGATAGCAAAATGTGTTCAGTGTTTTTATTTTTAATTGCATACTGTCCTATACAGTAACTTTTATTTATGTTTTACATTTGATCGCAATTTTTAAATTACATTTTTTTTTAGAAAAACTCTGAAGAAATTTATCATTTCTCAATGGCCGGTGATGATAGCAGCCCTGTAAATCTTAAATTATTGTTATTATAATATAGTTATATATTTATTTTTTAGGGTTGCGTTTGTGATATTACTGATTACATTATTTTGTTACAAAACAATAAGGAGGACATTTCCTATAAATTTTATACTTTTAGTGTTGCTGGTATGTATATATTTATATTAATTTAACACTAATCATCAGTCTACAAATTTGATACTTAAATTTTTAAGAAAATATATAAGGTGATTCTGTCATAATGTCATTAATTTTAAAGATGATATGGAAAAATGAGTAGAATACAAATGCGCGATTAAAAAAATTTAAAAATGCATATTTACACTGAAAAAAATATTTTCAAGTCATTATTTAAACCTTTTCAGACCGCTCGTGACCGCTGGCCCACAAAGGTTTATCCAGAATGAATCTTCACCTACCGTAATATGCGGTCATTAACCTAGCTTTTAATGCCTTTTTAATCCATAAGGAACTACATTGAATAAACAGAAGCTTTTTAGCTAGACACATGAATGAATAAGATATTTTTTACATTTTAAATATTAACAAGTATTATTTATTTGTTAATAAAAACAAATGTATGAGGATAATAATTGTTTTTGAATGTTAGTATTTAGTATTTTTAATATTGTTAACCTATTCACTTCGTTTTATAATTATGAATATTTAGTATTATCAATTAATTATTCAGTTTGTAGTACGTATACCTTATTGTCTGTTTCATTGCCCATGGTATATACCCATTTAAAGTGAGTATGAGAGTACGGATAAAATAAACACTCACTCATTCGTCCATAGCACTTAATAAAGTTTTAGGATCCACTGTACATTGATTTTGAAACCAATTGCAAAATTCTAGATGACTGAAAAAATCAGCTGTTTCGCTTCGACCATCAAACGCTCTATGGTCCGCCAAACAGTGGGAAATATGGGAAAAAATTCTGCACACACTATTTTAACTGTACAGCGGTAATTTCTTTTTTATTCTTCTTCAAATAAGCTTAATTTTATGATCCTGGTGCGATAATTTGATATCGAATGAGAACCTTTCAGCCTCAACACCAAACATAATAATTCGGTATTTAAAAATAAAAAAAAATAAAAAATTTCGTATTTGAGGTTGATTAAACAACGAAATTAATCATGTAGCTTTACAATACTTTTCAACCTTAAACCTGAACCCAAAATTCAGCAAACCTAACCTCAAAGTAATACACTGACTCATTTCTAAATCTATGGGTATAATTACTTGAAAACTATATTTTAGAGCTTATATTTCCTAACTCTAATGGTTGGTTTATAAAAAAGTATTAGTCCTAACTTGGCCGTAACTTAACCTTAATCTTATTCCTAAAAAGTTAAGTGTACAGAATGTAATGTATTGGTTTATAAAAATCTTAACCTTGCCCTAGTTCTATACGTTTATTTTGTACATTTAACTTTTTAGGACTAAGATTAAGGTTAAGTTACGGCTAAGTTAGGACTAATACTTTTTTATAAACCAATCATAAAACCATAAACCTCCACCCACAAACACCTAACCTTAAACCCTTCAAAACCTAACCCTAACCCTCAAAACCGAACTTCAAATTCTAAAAATTCATAGAATGTATATGTTCCACACCAAAATATAAGTCCTTGAAAACTATTTTCTGGAACTTATATTTTTTATTTTTTTGAAACCCCTAACTTCTATTCTTAAATATCTAACCTCAAATCCAAGAAATCTGAGCCAGAAAGTCAAAGGATATTTTCCAAACCAAAGAATGTGACTCCTTGAAAACTCTAAAAACTCTATTTTGTATTTCTGAAGCCTCAAACCTATGCAATGTCCATAAAATCTTAATCTCAAACCCTTGAAACTTCTCAAATCTGCAGAAATAAATGGTTATTTCGATAGATAAAATTTCATCGATAAATTACAAAAATTTCAACAATTTCAGCTAAAAACTCAAAGCTCAAAATCTATATTATTTACAGAAATTATTCGATGGACTGCATTTCGTTATCTTTATTTATAAGACTTAAGCCCTTTTACCACGTCAAGGTAGCAGTCTTTAAAAGGGTTGTTTTCTTGTTTTTTTTTTTGTTTTTTTCTGCTTCTAATGTTTCTTCTATGTTACAAAAATTTTCATTTTATTTTTAAATACCGAATTATTATCTTTGGTGTTGGCTTATAGGCTCTCAATCGATTTAAAAAATTTCTATATACGTGTGTACAGAGGGAAAATATTTTTATTTTTCATTTTACCAGAAAAAGGCATTCTTGATTAAAATCTTTGCTTATCTTTAAAATGCGGTTGGCTTGGAGAGCTTTCATCTTGCATGTACAGGGTGATCAGAAAATCGGTAAAAATAAAAATTGTTCAAGAATAAACTGCCTTTCTTTGTAACAATAGAGGAACATGTTAATAAGGAAAGTTACTTAGAATTGAAATTTATATTATAATTTAAATTTGTGTATGAATCGTCCTACTTTAATAGAAACGGACACTAAAACCTTTTAATTATTCATTTTATGAGAAATTATTGATTAAAATTTTTGCTTGTCTTTAAATTACAGTTGACATGGAGAAGAAAAAAGTTTGACAACAACCTTCATAATGAAAAGTGATAGGGCTTTTGAGTAATACTGACAGTTATTCTTAATATGTTTACATTGCAGGAAAAAATTTATTTAATACAATGTTTTGGCAAAATTACTAAATAAAGTTCTCCCCAGAATGATGAGCAAAAGGCAGTTTATTCTTGAACGATTTTAATATTTACCAATTTTCTGATCACCCTGTACATGCAAGATGAAAGCTCTCCATGCCAACCACATTTTAAAGACAAGCAAAAATTTTAACCAAGAATGCCTGTTCCTCGTAAAATGAACAATAAAAATGTTTTACTCTCCGTTTCTATCACAAATTGAAATTATAATATAAATTTCAATTCTAAGCAACTTTCCTTAATAATATATTTCTGTATTGTTAAAATCAAAGGCAGTTTATTCTTGAACGATTTTTATATTTACCCATTTTCTGATCACCCTGTACATCAAGACGAAAGCTGTCCATGCCAACCGCATTTTAAAGACAAGCAAAAATTTTAATCAAGAATGTCTTTTTCTCGTAAAATGAAAAATAAAAATATTTTCCCTTTTCCACTCTAACAGTGGACATAGTGTAGATATATCAAATTATCGCACCAGGATCATAAAATTAAGCATACTTGAAGAATAAAAAAGAAATTAGCACTGTACGGTTAAAATAGCCGAGTGCGAAGAATTTTTTCCCATTTTTCCCACTGTGCTCCGGTGCATTCTGTATCACAAACTAGGGGAGTGAATTAACGAGAATTAAGGGGTAATTAGCTTACTAAAGGCCGAGACAATTTTTTTTCGATTTTCTGTCTATTAGGACTTCCGAATAGGTGGTTAATATTAATAATATTATGACTGAATTATGAATATTAATAGTCAAAATAAGTAAAATATTTTCAGACGATATGTATGGCCTATACAACGGCAGGTATTTCTTGCTATTATGAAACTAAAATAGTTATGATCTCAATGGGAGCAACAGCAGGAATATGTACACTACTTTCTTTATTAGCTTGCCAGCATTGGGTATGTTTTAAATTATATATACCAGATTACGTGCCTTAAGTTATTTAAACATCAAAAACATTCTATATCTGATACATTTACCTTTTAAAATATCTGTGTCCCTTAAGACTGTGATTCTTACATTATAATTTTAAGGTACAATAAGTTGCAGTTATATTTTTCAGTTCGACATAACTCGATTTGGAATGATACTCTGCATAGCATCTTTAATAATTATGGCTTTCGGCATAGTTGCCATAATAATAACTCTACTTACTGGATCAAACGTAGCATATATTATTTATGCATGCCTAATAACACTACTTCTGTGTGCAGTAAGTATATTTATCTCCTTGTAGTTGTTAGTAATAGATGTATTACGTATTTTCAGTACTTGATGTATGATACACAGCAAATTTTGGGCGGTCACAGATCTGAGATATCACCAGAAGAGTATATACTGGGAGTATTAATGCTCTATATTGATATAATGCTTATTTTCCAATACATACTCACGTTGGCTTCTTATTTTGGTAACTGAAGTCAAGTTTCAAAAACAACGTAAAAACTGTTTGAAGTGAATAATACAATGTTGTACTTACTTGGAACAATTAAATAAACCCTGTGATTTGAAAAATTCACAAGTTAAGAATGGATAAATTCTATACAAATGAAAACGCTTGACTTTCTGCCCACAAAAACTGTTAACACACTTTTAGGTTAGAACAGAGCACTAGAGCAGAGAATGGTTGGCCAGGGCCTGGCCAGGGTTGCCAGCACAAAACATGAGTTGCCAGTTGCCAGAGAAATTTTACCTCTCATCGCCACTAGATGGAAACACAGTAGCCAAAAAGTCGGCGTTTGTTTGAAATAAAAGGGAAGCGGATAATATTATTAAAAATAAATAAATTTTTATATTAAAAAAAATCCCCTCTATCGTAACCTGGGTGCTTTCACTATCTGTCCGAGGCCTAGATAAATGATACTAGTCCGAGGCAACATTTCTGGGTGTGTGAAATGCTCGGTTCTTGCCCCCGAGAGAGAAAAGTTCAACCTTTGTTGTGTTGTCCCCCTACTAACAAATCAGTCTATAATAATGGAAATGAAAATGTTAATTGTGAACGAAAATAATTAGTGGAATAAGAAGAGGAAGGTAAAATGGAAAAATTCCAGACGCTGAAAGGCATTCCCTCCTCGATTGTTGGGAAAAATAACCTGCGCTGGCCAAGTACCCGCCGCGCCATTATTCTATGGCTAGAAGTTGGCCTCAATGATTTGGGATCGAGGGGGATTATCCCTCTTTATCCTGCCTCATCTCGTGTAGGCCTGGACAGCCTTCGTAGGTGGGCCCCATCCGTCGTCTACCCCGACCGCAAATGCGGCCGGTGTAGGCGCTTTGTGGGACCTCCTTTTGTCCTGGCTGGGCCCCGCCGGCTAGGGCCCTTTCTTCTGGCGCTCTTCTTGCTTCGCCGGCTCGTCTGTGTAAACCCCGGGGGTAGTGTCATGTTTATGTGTGGTATGGTTGGGTAGGGTAGTGCGGCTATGCAGCCTGGGATGCGCTTTGCTAAGGTGGCCCTTAGGCTAGCGCGGGAGGGGAGGGTTAAGGAGGGTATGGGGGGTGTGTGTGTGTGTGTGTGTGTGTGTCGTTGTCTTCGTTTCTTGATCCTGGCTGTCTCTGAAACAGAAAAGGTTAGCGGGCAGGGGGGGGGTCATTGGGGTGGTCACCCAGGGTCAAAAAGTTGGTGTCTAGGTCTTTTGTGTTTGTCGGTCACGTCGGGTACGTAGTCAACGGCTTGCCTGAGGAGGGGATTGTCATGTCTAGCGGCTACGTCAAATCGTTTCTCCGCGTTTTGTCTTATTGTCTGTGTAGCGTTTGTGTATTGTAAGTCTCGTAATATGTCAGTGTTTCTTACGTACCAGGGCGCGTCGGTGGCCGTGCGGAGGGCTATGTTTTCCACAGCCTGTAATGACTTTAAGTGGCTTTTTGCCGCGTGACCCCACGCCGTGGAGGCGTAGGTTAGCTGCGGTTGAAGTACCACCTTGATAAGCGTTCGCTTATTCCTTAAACTGAGGGTGTTTCCACCTTTGAGTAAGGGATAGAGCCTAGCCCTGGTGGTCTTCGCTCGCGCCACCGTCTCCACGATGTGCGGTTTCCACGTGAGACGCTGGTCCATCGTCACGCCCAGGTATCGTGTTTGTCGATTCCAGGAGATGGGTTCCTGGGATAGTGTCAGTCTGTCAAGGTTTTGTGGGATTTTTCGTTTGGTAAAAAGGATAGCCGAACTTTTGTTGGGATTAATTTTGACTTTCCACCTGTTGCACCAGGTTTCAAGTTGGTCTAAGGAGCTTTGGAGGAGGTAGACGGAATATCTAGGATCTACGGATTGGGATGTGATTGTCAGGTCGTCGGCGTATAAGTATATGTTGGTGTTGGGGGGATGTGGGATGTCGGAGTTGTAAATGGTGTATAGGTGTGGGGACAGGACGGTGCCCTGGGGGACACCGGCCTCCATGGGACGGGTGGTGGAAAGGGAATCTTGGATTTGGATGCGGAATTTTCGGTGGTGTAGGTAGGATTTTATGAGTTTGGTAAAGGATATGGGATATTGGTTGGTGAGCATTTTCATCAGTAGGCCTTCATGCCAAACCGTATCGAAGGCCTTTGCGACGTCCAGGAAGACAGCACCAGTGTACTGTCCCCTGTTGAAGGCCGCCGTGATGTGCTCGGTAAGGCGAAGGATTTGGAGTTCAGTGGAGTGATTGGGTCGGAAGGCGAACTGCTCGTCTGGAATGACTTGCAGTTCTTGGGAGTGGGTTCTTAGACGGGTTAGGATAATTTTTTCTACCACTTTGCTCATAGCCGGGAGCAGGCTAATGGGCCGGTAGTTGGATGGGATGGTGTGATCTTTGTTGGGTTTTGGGATAAGGATTATGTTTGCTGTTTTCCAGCGGGGGCCAAGTACCCAAAAGTGGAAGCCATTAACTAAAGAAGAAGAAGAGGAGATAAAGCACAACAAAGTCCCCCTACATCCCCTCGATCTCTAATTATGTAGGCCACGTTTAACGCCAAAAATAACGGCGCGCCATCTAGCATAGTAGTTTAACAACGTTCCCTTTTATTTAAAACAGATGGCGACTTTTTGGTTACTGTGTTTCCATCTAGTGACGATAATAGATTTAAGCTAGAATTGGCTACTGTGGTCATATTGATAGATTAACACTTTTAGCCTAATTTTGTGATTTTCTATTTATATATTATTTTTAAGTAGGTTTCACGTTTTGTATTTGATTTCTTTCTAGATACCAAGATATACAAATCTAAAGTTTAGGTATGCCTCTTACTTATCTCAAAATAATTTTTCTTTGAAAGCATAAATTTTATAATTCAAGAGTAACACTCATCAAACATTTTTCTGTTTCTAGCAAAATTAACTATTCGAATACAAAAGATAATATTTCATTAATAACTTTTATGTTTGTAAAAGTGAGAGAAAAAACAATACTTGTGTGAAATTTGTTATTGGAAGAATTATTTTTGATCAAACATTTTAGCCAATAGTAGCTTCTTAGCAAAAGAACCACAAGGATATGAAAAGTTTCTGATATATCTATTTCGTTTCCTGGTGGTACACAACCACGGCTTACACAACTATTACACTAATTCCTTGAAGAAATTGCCACTTTTGGTGGTTTGGCTGGATTTAGATTTTTATGTTTATTTTGTTTTAATTGAAAACTGAAGTAGCAGTGGCAGGTTGTTGAGTTGTAGTAATCTGTGGTAGTAATAACCTAAAAAATGCACGTGTGATTGTAGTGGATCTCAAAATTGTTTAAAATTTTAATTCAATGACAGAAGTCTCGAAGTTCTAGTTTGTGTTTGTCGCGAGTTAATTAAAACTAGTATTTATTTGATAAAAATAAGTACTTACATTAGCATTTAAGAATAGTAAGTTAAATGATGTAATGACAGGTCGAGTTACATTACTTACAGCAAAGTTTTTTTAGAAGCAGTTACCATACCAAAATGCCTTCTCAAACCAAAGATGTACAGTCACCTGCAGAAAATAAGTTATTGCCAGAAATTGACGATGGCAAAGTTAAGATGAAGAAGCATATGGGGCTATTAGAAGGAGTTGCTATTATTTTAGGAATTATATTTGGCTCTGGTTAGTAGTACTTCAGTGAAATATTTACTCTGTAGATACATAGTAAAACATATTTTTGTTTACATTTTAGGTATATTTATTTCACCAAAGGGTATAATTCAAGAAGTCGATTCTATCGGATTTTCGTTGGTGGTGTGGGTATTATGTGGACTTCTATCTATGATAGGTGCTCTTTGTTATGCTGAACTCGGAACATCGATTCCAAAGTCTGGAGGTGATTATGCATACATAAACGAGGCATTTGGTCCATTACCCTCTTTCTTATATCTGTGGGCAGCTAATATCATTTTCGTGTAAGTGTTTTTATTTATATATTTGATGTTATATGATGAAATTTCCTGATCTATTTGAAGAATAGAATTTATTTTAAAATTCATGTTATGATGCAATTTTTTATTTGAATTTTATCATTTGCAAAATTGTATACAGTGAAAAAAATATTTAATATTAATGAATGAAGAAAAAAGAACTAAGCGTATAATAAAGCATAACGTGTTAAATAAATGCTTTTTTTGGAAAATCTAAATATGTGTAGAGAGCACACTTTTGAAATATAAAAAAATTCCATATTTGTTTCATAAAAGAATTCGTATAAGTACATATTTTTCTTTTAATTTTAAAATGATATCAGTTCTAGTCTATATTTTTGTATGATGTAATTAATACTTTGCCTGAAATCATACAACTTTTATTATAACTGTCCACTTTATCTTTTGAAATGTACACTCGACGCAAGATAAAGGTTTCCAACCTAAAAGGCATACTACTTTTAAAGGGGCGTGTCATATTTTTTTTGTGTAGGCACGTGTGTAACGACACTGCAAAAAATTGCAGGCTTGAAGTATATGCATTATAAAAAGAGGAGTATACAGGTTTTGAAATTATTTTGGCTTGCCACATTATTTTTCTCGACCCTGAGAAAATTAATACGTATTTTGAAATAAGAATTTGTGTCATATTCTGCAGAAAGTAGGTAGGTAGGTCATGAAGGCAACAAAATAAAAAAATATTGTAAACTACAGTTTTATTATAACAACAGTTTCGGGAGAAAAGGGAAATATTTTAAGGACATGTTCTGGAAGTGAAAATAAGTAAATAAGTTCGTAACATTATGGGTCCGGAAATGTTTCCTTTCTGAGATAGATGTTGAAAGAAATTTAAAATCCGGTTTTTTCTAAATATTTCGAAAACGATTTAAGATATTACACTGCCACTGTACTTGTGTACTATACACCAAAGCTCAGTGTAATATCTTAAATCGTTTTCAAAATATTTAGAAAAACAGGATTTTTTTTAATTTTACATCTATCAGAAAGGAAGCATTTCCGGGCCCATAATGTTATGAACTCATTTACTTATTTTGACATCATTTTATAAACAATGAAAAAACAAAACAGTCTAATAATATGTCGAACCACCATCCGAATCAATAACGGTTTGTAATCTGTTTGGCATAGATGTAACAAGGCGTCGTATATAATTCACGTCTATAGCGTTCCAAATATTTTGTATACATTCCCAGAGCGTATCTCTGTTTGGTGGAATATCGTCATATTGTTCATTCAACTGACGCATTACCTAAGCCCATAAATGTTTTTTTTATTAGAAGTAATTTCCATTTTGTTTCATTCCAAAATATTGATTAGAACCCGAGTTATCACGGAAATATTATTTTTGGGGGTGAACATGAGGGCTAGTTTGAATCCGTTTTAGGCTAAAAGAAAAAATATTAGTCCTTATTAATATGTATTTACCTTTTTGAGATTAACAATGTATATTGAGCATACAATAATTTAAAGAAACACACATTTAATAATAATAATAATAATAATAATATTAATAATATTTATTTCAAAGAAGATACAGCTACACTGTAACCGACCATTGTATCTACACCTAAAATGAAATATTGTCAGTATTGTAAACTAAAGAATACCTAAAAAACTATTTTAATAGATAATCATTTAAACTATATGGTTCTAATTCTACTAACATTTTTTTAATCACCTTCTTAAATTTATGAAGTCCTTTAATATTTTTTATACTTTCCGGAAGTTTATTATAAAGTTTAATACATATATATTGTGGACTCTTCTCAGTTATAGCTAACCTATATATTGGATAAGTAATGTTTATACTACGAGTGTTGTACTCGTGACCGACATTATGAATCATAAATATCTCTGTTTTTTAGTACATATACAAGACATTCATAAACGAAAACTGCAAAAAATGTCATTAACCTTTTTTGTTTAAATAAACCTCTACATGTTTGACTATACTCTAATTTGTACATTATTCGTAAAACTCTTTTTTGTAACACAAATATTTTTTGGATATTGCTACTCCCCCAAAAAATTATTCCTGATCTCATACTTGCTTCAAAATTGGAAAAATATATCATACGCAATGAGCTTTCATTCAAATACTTGACAATGATTCTGAAACTATAACATATTTTGTTCAATTTGCTACATAAATTATCGATATGTGGTGACCAGTCCAAATATTCACTAATATATACACCTAAGAATTTTGTATGGGTATTGTATTTCAAATGACCATCTTGCATTTGTAATTTATCTGGAGTTTCTATATTACTTTGTCGAGTTCTAAATAAAATAATATTTGTTTTCTCCACATTTAATAAAAGACCATTTTTTGAGAACCATTGCTTTGCATTAAGCAATAAGGTATTACTTAAATCAGTTACTTCCGGATAATTTCTACCAGTAATAAGTAAATTTGTATCATCTGCATAATTTGTTATATAACAATTTTTTACAATTATACTAATTAAGTCATTAAGATAAACTATGAACAAAATTGGCCCAGTAATACTGCCCTGAGGAATCCCGATGTTTTTATTTTTAATACGTGATTTTACTATTTTCCCATTATCAGATATTTGGACTCTCTGTTTTCGATTTGATAAATATGAGATAAACCAATTTAATGCATTTCCGCGTATTCCATACTTTTCCAACTTTTCCACTAGATAAGAATAATTTAGGCAATCATATGCCTTAGAAAGATCAAGAAAGATTCCCAACGACAATTCATTATTTTCAAAGGATTCCAAAATTTTTTTTGTAAATTGATATATCGCGGTTTCAATTGACCTCCTTTTTATCTAGCCATGTTGGCTATTATTTATTAAATTACAACCTTTCATAAAGTGTATTAGTCTATCACACATTGCCATTTCAAATATTTTCGAAAAGAATGGTAAAATACTAATGGGCCTATAGTTTTTAAACAATTTAGGATCCCCCTTTTTATATAATGGTTTGATTAACGAAAATTTTAATTGTTCTGGAAATATACCAAATTTAAAAGAATTATTCATTATATAACAAAGCGGTTCAACTATACATTTTATACATAATTTGACAATACTTGTTGGGATGTTATCATCACCACTTGTATGCTTATTTTTTAATCTACTGGCCAACTTCTTAATCTCTTCAGATGATACAGGTTTAATAAACATTGATTGGCAATTTTCTTGTATGCTGCAAGTAAACGGTACATTTTCAATATTGTTTACAAGTTGAGGTATTACATTGATAAGACATTCATTATAATCATTAGCTGCTTGCAATGTATCTACATCAAAATAAGAATTACAATCACTTTTACATTTACCAATTATTTCATTATGTATACTCCACATGGTTTTTGTTTTGTTATCTGAATTTCTTATCTTACATTCATAGTTATTTTTTTTTGCCTGAACTAACAAATTTTCATATTCTTTTTTTGTTTCATTATACATGGTCTTATAATTTATATCATGATTTGACACTGTTAGTAATTTATCCAGCTTATTTATTTGATCATTTGATTTAAAACTCACCTTTTTTCTATTTTCTTGTCTCCACTGACATGGAAAACTTTCATTAAAAATATTTAAAAAGTTATTAATAAAAGAGTTCCATTGTTTATTGACTTCATTTATCTTTTCTTCATACACTAGATTCCAGCTTTGTTCTTCTAATACTCTCAAAAAATTTACTTTATTTCTCTCATTAACCCATTAACGCCGATAAAAAAAAATCAAAAAATTATGCAAATTTTTAATACAAATAAGTAGTAAACATCTTTATTTAACATATTTAGTCAACTTAAAATATTTTTTTCTAAATTAACCGAAAAACAAGGTGTTCCCATATGGGACCTTTAGGCGTAACGTCACTAGAAATGAGCAACAATGAAAAAAGTAAACAGCAACTTGTTCTTTTAACGAAACCTTAAAATAATGAGTAAATATTATTACTGAGTATGAAACTTTCGAAAACAGTCAACACATAAGCCAATATTACATTTGCAGCACATTGTTCTTCCTCGGCTGCTACAGTTTTCACAACCACATCGACTTCTTTTACCTTCAAGAATAGTGGTTACATAATGATCATACCTTATATCATATACATGGCCAAAAACTGGCATTATTTGCCTGCTCCTCAAATTCTAGCGGTATTCCTACTTTAAAAGCACTTTGATGATCATAATAAAGGTTTTGTTTCTCCACTACGATATCAGAATTTTGACACTTTTTTGATATTATAGATTCTAATTTACTGACGCACACGCATTGACAATAGTGAACGAAATAATTTATCTTTGTCATAAGCATACGAGCAACTTCGGTATGAGTGCAATAAAGCGAACGTGATTTTTTATCTTTGTCCTGGCAGTGTCGTAGGACCTAAATATAATTCAAAATATAAAAAGGTAAATAAATTTGTATCTGTCTAAAAAACAAACGTAAAAAAAAATTCGAAGGCAACTTTTCATCATTTTAAATAATCAACCGAATAGTACAGAAAAAAAAATTGTTTTAGTTTTGTTACATCATTAGAATTAACGGATTAAAAATTTGAAATTGTTATAACCTTATTAAAAATTAAAAATTATATCTATTTCTCTGAAAAGAAAAGTCACATTTTTTAGAGTAGATTGAAAAAAAAAAATTACAAAATTCATTCATTTTTCTGCTTGTTATGATTTTTTTAAATTTCTGAAATCTTCCCTTAACTTCCAGCCTACCTAACTGTTAATTTTAATAGTACAAGAAAAAGTCAAGAGTCCATTTTTATGTAGAATTGTATGCTTTACAACTTTTATAAGAAACTTCAACTGATTTCATTGCGGGCACCTATAGGTACAGTGTTCATTAATGGCGTACAGAAAAACCAGAGGCCCATTCTGTGGCTAAAATTAAGTAAATTTTGTTAGACACCGTTTCCGAGCCGCAGGGTTTTCAAAATTAAAAAAAAAATAAAATTTGTAATTTTCTTAAATCCATTAAACCTAACTATTCGTAAGTAAGTAGTAGACGTTTCGCAAGATTTATTAGCTAGGATGAATCGATTTTTCTATTGTAATGTAAATGCAACTCTTTTAATAGAAACAAGATAATAAAAAATGCATACGGGGTCTGCTATAAGAGTTTGCCGATTAGTCCCATTTTAAAAATGCCAATCTACCAGGAAAGTATTTTTGTACAAAACTCGTAAAACGTCAGATGTGACGGTAAAATATTGCCACACGAGTTTAATGGGAACGCCCCATATAGACAAGCGGTTAAGCTTTCATATTTCAAACAAAATACGATTCAGATTGGAAACCTTTATCTTGCGTCGAGTGTACATCTTAAATTGAAAGATGAGATTAAAGATTAAGCTAATCAAGGTAAAATTGGATAATATAATATTTATTTTTGTATCTAGGCCCACAACGAATGCTATAATGGGTTTAACGTTCGCCAAATACGTCATACAACCTTTTTTCCCACAGTGTGATATGCCTGACATTGGCGTCAGGCTAGTTGCAGCAGCCGTCATATGTAAGTCATCAGTAAATCTTGCATATACACCATGACTATACATAGATTAATTGCAGGTGCTCTATCGTTTCTGAACGGTTACAACGTGAAGGCAACGATAAAATTGCAGAACGTCTTTATGTTCTGCAAAATCGCAGCATTGGTGGGTGTTATACTTATCGGGGTTGTTTGGATGTCTTTGGGTAATATGGATAATTTTAAGAATTCTTTTGAGGGGACAACCACTAATCCGGGCAAAATCGCAAAGGCTTTTTATTCTGGCATATTTTCATATTCAGGGTGGTATGTATGGCAGAATTGTTTTGATTTAATCGTTAATTAGTGATCATTTTTAGGAATTATCTCAATTTTATGACGGAAGAATTGAAGAATCCGTTTGTGTAAGTTTTTTGTTTCAATACAAAACAAAATGTTAAACTTTTAATTTTTTATATTTTCATTCAATGGTTTTTTTTGTTATTTGTTCAGTAATTTACCGCGCGCTATCTACATCTCATTGCCGTTGGTTACTGGCATTTACGTGTTGGCAAATATGGCATATTTATCAGTATTAAGTCCAGATGCGATGGTATCGTCGGATGCTATTGCGGTGGTATGTAGGAAGAATCTTCGAATACAGAGTGTTCTTTAAATACTTGTTATAACTTCAGGGTTCCTTGGGTCTAAAACCACTGGTTTTGAAATACAGGGCATTCTCATTTTTTCTCATCTTTTTAAATCTTAAAAAATTACTTTCAAATCCTTATTTAAATTTATTGTCAATAAATTATCCTTAATTAAAATTTATGTAACCCATTTCTACCTTTATATGAACTATACCTTGATCTGATCTCTTTTAAAATATGATAATAAAATAAATAATATTCAGTGTGGACACAAATTCTGAACTTTAAAAAATGTGTTATGTTAATTTTTTAATTTTTACCATTTTTTTAGGTTGCATAAAAACAATTTTCCAATGTCTTGAAATTTTATTTGCATTTGCCTCAAAAGTTTTTTTATGGACTTAAAAAGTTTCTTGTGTTCTTTTCATTCATTTATTTAATTATAAAAACACTATTTCCGGAGATATTTCATGTCCCAAGACTTTTTGTCCATACTGTAAGACCGAGTTTGATCAATCAAGACAAAATTTATTTTGAGATATTTAATAAATGTGATATTTTTAAAACTTCAACATCCAACATGTTGAAAACCAGTGGCTTTAGACTCTTGAATCATCAAGATTTTTTTATCAAAAATGACCCAAAGGACCTCTTGAAGTTATAATTATAATCTTCAGAAGGTAGCATTCGTCTTTTATTTTTAGACTTTTGGCAACGCTGTGTTGGGAAAATTTGCATGGATCCTCCCCATAATGGTAGCTATATCAGCTTTCGGAGGCCTAAGTGTACATATCATGACCGCCTCAAGAATGATGTATGTCGGCGCAAGAGACGGACATTTTCCAGTTGCCTTGGCCCATTTAAACATCAACAGGCTAACCCCAGCTCCTAGCCTCGCCTTTCTTGTAAGTTTACACTGAAGTTATATACAGGGTGGTTCGAATTTGTTTCCGTCAAATTTTAGGAACTGGTATATTATGAAATTGTGATAGTTCTATGTAATCTAGTGGGCTCTAATATTTACAAATTATAATCAGCAGTAATCGGCTAAATTTTCATCTTCAGACATTTCCAGTGCCTTCTAGATTTTTAAACTGAAAAAGATAAATTAAAATTCTTTGATATAAATTGATAAAATTTGAAAGATCAGGATTTTAAGTGATGCCGATTGAGGCTAATTAGTTAACCAAATTTTATTACAAAAATTTCTAGTGATTTTCTGAAAAACCTTTAAAATAATCGCATCAGGATGTGGGTTACCAGCTAGATCATCATAATCGATTCAATAGGTATATCTGGAAGAACAGGGTGTAACAGTAAGTGCGGGAATGGTTTTTAGGAGTCATAGAATGTACTCCCTAAGATACTGATCTTTTTATTATTATTTCTAATCAATTAATCAAGCTATCTTTCGTTTTTCAAATTGCACTTAAACTTGTCTATGTTGCCACTAGGCAGCCCTTGAACTGGTTTGTATACAGGCTGTTACAAATTTGCTTCTCACTACAAGGATCTTGGAAACGATAAGAGATATGAAGTAGCTTAAATGGGGCAAAGTTGCATAATCAAGGGACCAATGTTATGTCTCTAAAAAATCAATGTGAACATGATTAGTTTTTGAAAAATTTGAAAAAAAACCAAAGTTTTGGAAATCCATTTTTGTTTCATTTCAGCCTTGTTTGAGGTGACATTGAAAAAAGAAGAACACTTTCTTGTGGCAACTTTTTGCCCTCTATTGAATGGCATAATTAATTTTTATATGTAACGTTTCGTCTCTCCAGAACCATCAACTTTATTTTTTTAAATACAACCCTGGAAATTTTATTACATTTTTTGACCCCCAATCCTGTACTGCCTCAGCCCGAACCAGATTCAGACGTTCAGAATGTATTCGTTCAAACTTATCTAAACTTTTTATTCTATGTTCTATGTTTATTTGAATTATCGTACAGTCTAAGTGTCGTTAGACCCCGAGACTCCTGTTGCGAGAAGCGAATTTGTAACAGCCTGTATATGCGCTTATTAGTGTTCCTGTTTTTATGTTTTTAAACCAACTGTGTGAAAATTACAGGCTGACAGAGAGTGAAACTGCAGTGGAAAATAAATTTTGTGACATCATTTTAATCACTACCTACTTTTTTATGTGGACAAAAGAAACTTATATTAAAAAAAAAGTTTTTGTGTTTTAAAAGTAATATATTTTTTTAAATTTATTTTATATTAATTAATATTGGCTTGTGGGTAGGCGCATTGTTTTTGCTGTTTCGTAAAATGTACATAAAACTAAAACAAAAATACTAACTAATCTGATAGATTTGAAATATTTTTTAATCATTTGGTTGATTGAGGTTACACTGGCCTATTCAGTAACAAGGTGTGAAAAGTATAAAAAAAAAAATAATAAAGCAAACTTATTAGGTGTGTTTGTAAGGATCAAGGATAGCCTCCATAAAAATATGACCTCCACTAAAAGTTGCACCCTGTATATAAAAACATTCAATTGTTTTTACTGGTAATCAATTTGTTCCTAAAATTTGATAAAAAAAAAAATTGAACAATGACATAATTTTTCAATTTTAGTGCTTCTTGTCTCTACTTATGTTGAGCACGAGCGACATCCACCTGTTGATCCAATACTGCTCGATCGTGGAGTCCTTCTTCGTTACGTTGTCGGTATCAGGTCTCTTGTATTTGAGGTGGAAGAACCCCAAAATGATAAGACCCATTCGAATTAATATATTCGTACCTATACTGTTCGTTGTGTTGTGTCTCTTCCTCCTATTTCTTCCACTTGTCGAGTCTCCTTTGATCGTGTTGGGCGGCCTGCTCATTACCCTCTCGGGGATACCGTTCTACTATTTCGGAGTGATTTGGAAGACCAAGCCAGAAACATTCCAGAGTTTTATGAGTAAGTATTTTGTGCTACACGACGTGACGTGATTAGATAGTGTCGCAAAGGTGAGGACTTCTGAAAGTGCTCAAGAAAATATTCCTATTTTCTGTTTGTTTCATAAACACAAAATGGTTCTTTCCTATTTTTTCAAACATATCGCAAATATACAGACTGTTACAAATTCACTTCTCACTACAGGGATCTCGGAAACGGTAAGAGATATGAACTTAAATAGGGGCAAAGTTCCGTAATCAGAAGACCAACATTATGCCTGTAAAAAATCAAGGCTAACATGAATAGTTTTCGAAATATTTGAAAAAAATTGAAATTTTGCATATCTGTTTTTGTTTAATTTCAGCCTTGCTTGAAATGATATTGAAAAAAAAAGACACTTTCTCATGGCAACTTTTTGCCCTCTATCGATAATCAATTTTTATATGTAATGTTTCGTCTCTCCAGCACGATCATCAACTTCATTTTTTTAAATATGACCCTGGCAATTTGATTACATTTTTTACATACCTTCATGACCAATATTGTACTGCCTCAGCTCGAACCAGATTCAGACGTTTTGTCTCGAAAAGTTCATCTTCAATGTATTCGTCCAAATTTTTCAAAATTTTTTATTTAGATTTCTATGTTCATTTAATTATTAAGTGTCGTTAGACCCTCTGAAATCCACCTAGTTATTTAAACTATTACCATCACACATTACAATAAAACATTATTTGAGTTTTAATCCCATGCCCATAGTTATTTCTAGGTTTCTCGAGTGCTCAAAATTCAATTTCACAGGGTCTAACGACACTTAGAGTGTACAATAATTCAATAATAATCATATAAATCTAAATAAAAAATTTACATAAATCTGGAAGGAATACATTGAAGATGAATTTTTCGAGACAAAAAGGTCTTGAATCTGGTTCGGGCTGAGGCAGTACAGTATTGGGGATCATGAAGGCTTGCAAAAATTGTAATTAAATTTCCAGGGCCGTATTTAAAAAAATGAAGTTGATGGTGGTCCTGGAAAGACGAAATGTTACATATTATAAAAATTGATTATGCTAAGTTGCCATGAGAAAGTGTTCTTCTTTTTTCAATATCACTTCAAACAAGACGGAAATGAAGCAAAAACGGATTTCCAAAAATTCGGTTTTTTTTTCAAGTAAATTAATGAAATTTTTCAAAAAATATTTCTCATTTCTTAATTTTTAAAACAAATCCATTGTTCAGAACATAAATCCTCGAGTCCTCATTTGTGTCCCATACAAATTCTCCAAAAATAAATTTCCGAGCATTTTACATTTTGACAAGAAATTGAAAACAGAAACTAGGACTTGTTCATTTCTTCTAATATTTAACAAAAAAGACAAAAATAAATTGGGGACTGCACTTTATAGACTTTCACAATCTTTGCTCATTTACCATGTAAAATTTCTCGATGTGCTGCTGCTTTCACTTTTTTTTTTGAGACATCAGATAACTTTCTCTTTCCAAAAAAAGTGAAAGTAAAGTGAAAATTTTCTTAATAAAAATATTGATTTTTTAATTAAAATGTAATTAATTCCATTGTAGCCAATTTTTTTCATAAATAGTAAATACTGATTTTGATCAAATATAAATCCAATTACAGAATTTTGGTTTTTGTCCCATCTTTATATTTTTACAGTTTTTGTATACAGTATGTCCGCGGATTAAATTTACAAGAGGCCAGATGCACCAAAAAATGAAAGATATGAGAAGTCATTCTTGTTAAAAGTTTTTGCTTGTTTAGGAATACGAATCACCATGACAAACTTCAATTTAGTTGTGCAGGGTGGGTCAAAATCACAAAAATATTTTGCATCATACCTTGTTTTGCAAGATACCATAGCCAGCATGTTTCTATGGGGCCGTTTAAAACAAATTGTTTATGCTACACCAATTCCAAATAATATTGAAATGCTAAAAGGCACAATTATCCAGGCTGTCCGATGTCCTAGGAAGAAATCAGAAATTCCTTCAGATATCTAAGAAAGCAATGAAGCAATTAGAAAAGTATGTTTAATATGAGGGTGGTGTTTTTGAAATTCGAAATCTCGAAATCAAAATCGAAGTTTGTCATGGTGATTCGTATTTTCTAAACAAGCAAAAACTTTTATAAGAAATGTCTTTTTTTGTATCTTCCACTTTTTAGTCCATTTGTCCTCTTGTAAACTGAATCCGGGGTCATTCTGTATAGGCTGCCTCAGAATAACATACCATAAATTAATATACATAAGTAATAACACATTTTTATTCTATCGTTTTTGATTAAAGGGAGTTAGATTTTTTTTATTTTACTAATATCGCAAAAAGTACTCGACCTATTAAATTTGATAGGCATTAAGAAATTATACTGGGCATTTGTTATGCGCTGCAATCCTGGAATACCACAACTTTTTTTGAAGTTAGGAGTCCTTAGTACAATTATCTTATGTACTTTTTGATTGTAATAATTTAATTTGGGATTCTCATAACATGTGCCTACCAAAAGTTTATTACTTTTGGAGATGTTAGCAAAATTCATTTTAAAGAAATGTACCCTTAACACTGTTATAGCAACAAACGACAAGAGTCCCATAGTTCTGCAAAAAGTTATTTATTTTCTGAATGTTTCTGTAACTTCTAGAATTTATGGTGCGTTACTCTAGAATACTCTATCTATACAGGGTGTTTCTTAAGTAGAGGTCAAAAAATCCAGGGATGTGTTCTGTCAACAAAAATGAGGGTTTTTTGTTATATAAATGTGGATAGCCATTGTCCAAATACAGTGTCAAAAATTTAAAAAAAAATCAGTTTAATTTTTTATTTCTAAACCGCTTGAGATAATTTAACCTAATTCGGTGTGCATATTTAGTACGACAGCACAGCTTATACAGTTCCCCAACTGTCTTGGCGGAAACGGTTAGCATCGATTCCACCGCGCAGTGTTTATGTCCCGCCTTCCAGCGGAAAAGACGGCTTTGGCATTCGTTCAGGCGAGTAACAACAACGGGTAGTAAGAATTTGCAATCATAGGCGTGGGTATAATTTCGTTGATTTATTTTTATTTTATATAATAATGAAAATGAAGATATCTTATTTGGACAATTGCAAATAATGCCAAACGATAACTTTATTGAGCTCATTTGTAACACTGAAAAGATATTTCAAGATAATTTTGAACAATTATCCACAAAAAATAACATTTGTAGCACATTTCTTGAATTAATTAAAAGACTACCTTTTAGTCATACGTGTCATTCTTTTCCGAAAGAATTTGTACTTAGGTTATATTTAAGGGTTAGAATATATTATACGTTATGAACTATAAACCAAAATTTTAGGAATATTCAAAAAATAAACTTATAATAATGGAGAAATCTGTAATGATTATATTTTTAATACTATGTATTATGTTATTATATTTTTTTGTATATTATATTGTACGTATGTTTTATAATATGTATAAGTATTGGTCCAGGCTGTATCGTTCCTCCCGCTAGGAACATGATTCTCATTCGATTTTTTTTCATAATCTTACTAAAAAAAATGACCCTTGAATCATATCCGCATGTTGCCAGACGTTACTAATGGTCAAAAATTGTTTAAACAATTTTTTTAAAACAAATTCGGAATTTTCGGTTTTATCGCTCGAAACCCATTTTTATAGGCTTTTTGGGGTATCCTGAACAAAATTGTTCATATGCAACTGTTTTCTAAAATCTACTGTTTTCGAGATATTAACGATTTTTTGTTAGAAAAAAACGCGATTTTAAACATTTTCTTCTCTAAGGATTATGTCAGTAAACAGGAACTTACAACAAGGAATTTTAATTACTCTTCAAGTTTTCTTTTAATAATCCGTATTAACTCCAAGTACAAAACCTATTACATATCTAAAATACCCATTTTCTACTTTTTATGTCATACCACGTAATATTCTAATTCAAATTTCATATTATTAAAATTACCTACTACGGTACTGTCAGGTAGAAACTAAATATTTTATTTCAATAATAAAAATTCTTTTAATCCAGCCCCGACTATTTGGTTTAATCTGAGAGAGTTAGCACGATTCCGTCTCGTTTGGTTCTCGACCGCCACATCAAAGGCACCGACACGGACTCTTCCAGCTGTATTAAGCTGTGCTTAGGTTATATTTAAGGGTTAGAATTTATTATATGTTATAAACTATAAACCAAAATTTTAGGAATATTCAAAAAATAAACTTATAATAATGGAGAAATCTGTAATTATTATATTTTTAATACTATATATTATGTTATTATATTTTTTTGTATATTATATTGTAGGTAGTGATGTAAAATTCCCGAGCACGTATTTTTGCAGAACGTTCCCCGAGCACGAACGAGCATAAACGAGAATAAACAAGCATAAACGAAAAAACCCTAGAATTTATATTTGGGGTGTAGTGAAGTATTTTGAAACTTACTTTTCGTGTTTTTTTCTGAAAATGGTCAAAATTCTCAAAATGCTGAAAGTGCTCAAAATACTCGTAATGCTTCGTATGAAAATAAGAGTGTATTCATATTATGTGTTGCAAATAATACAGTAATAACATCTAACATAAAAAAAAATATTTATCAAGTAAAAAATAGCTAAAACTTACATGCATGTTATAGTCTTTCCGATATCAATTGAAAAACCAAGACGTTGACAGTATGTACCAGGTTCGGTCGCTGACGCAGCAACTCGGCACTGAAATATTTGAAAAACTTGTTCCATATTTATTTAGCCATACCTATATACAGGTCTGGTCGAGCTAAACGTGGAGGTGGTAGAAATGTATACGCTCAGTTGAAGAATGTGAGCACGGCCAAATGAAATCTAACACAGCTGCATTGGGCCGCTGAGCAATAAATCTCAGTTCCTGACAAGTGTTGACAAACTGCCCAGCAACTTATTATAATTTTTTACCTTTAGCAGAAAACTTTTAGGGACGCCTATGAAAGACATTAAATTTTATTGCCAGGCATATTTTACATGTTCAACTAACTTCGGAAACACTATACATGTATGTAGAAACATAATGTAAGATAAATATAGCTTTGATGTAGTAAGTAGCTCATAACTTAAATATAAAATATTTTTTTATTTAAAAAAACTTTATATAAGAAAAATCAAATTGCAATCTCAATTTGCAATAAATTGAAAATATAATTTTCTCTGCAAATAATCAAATGTGTTAACTAAATCAAATAACAAAATAAAACAAGGGGATCCACAGAGGCAGAATGATGCAATGCACGCAGATGACACGATCTGATTGGCCGTGATCGTGCTGAAAATTCTCTTTCGTGCTGAGTGTGCTCTGTGAAGAACGTTCGCGAAGAGCAATCTATCGTGCGCGCACGAATGATATATCGTGCGCGAATGTTCGCGAAACGTTCTCCACAGCACGAAGGGAACGTTCTCCCCTTTACATCACTAATTGTAGGTATGTTTTATAATATGTATAAGTATTAGTCCAGGCTGTATCGTTGCTCCCGCTAGGAACGTGATTCTCATTCGAATTTTTTTCCATAATCTTACCAAAAAAATGACCCTTGAATCATATCCGCATGTTGCCAGACGTTACTAATGGTCAAAAATTGTTTAAACAAATTCGTAATTTTCGATTTTTTTGCTTGAAATACATTTTAATAGGCTTTTTGGGGTATCCTGAACAAATAAGTTCATATGCAACTTTTCTCTAAAATCTACCGTTTTCGAGATATTAATGATTTTTTGTTCCAAAAAAACGCGATTTTAACCATTTTCTTCTCTAAGGATTACGTCAGTAAACAGGAACTTACAACAAGGAATTTTAATTACTCTTCAAGTTTTCTTTTAATAATCCGTATTAACTCCCAAGTACAAAACCTATTACCTATCTAAAATACCCATTTTCTACTTTTAATGTCATACCACGTAATATTCTAATTCAAATTTCATATTACTAAAATTACCTACTAGGGTACTGTCAGGTAGAAACTAAATATTTTATTTCAATAATAAAAATTATTTTAATCCAGCCCCGACAATTCCGCTTAATCTGAGAGAGTTAGTACGATTCCGTCTCGCTTGGTTCTCGACCACCACATCAAAGGCGCCGACACGGACTCTTCCAGCTGTATTAAGCTGTGACGACAGTATGTATGAAAAAAATTACCAGCTTTAGAAACTTAACAGTGGTGGAGGTGTGGGTCTCATCGATCATTATTTGACAAAAAAAATATATATATATCACCCTGTATAATATTACAAATAAAATAAATCATCATACGCGCCATTGCATTGTCTTCCTGAAATTGCAGCTCGAACATGTGCAAAAATTCCAGGAGTAGCTCTTATCACATCACATCTATAATTTGTTTACGTAAGTGCTCCTCAGATTCGATGTGAACCTTGTAATCTAATGTATTGCGATATCCCCAAACAAAAAAATCAATAGGGTTCATATCGGGTGATCTGGGTGACTAAGGTTGACCTGATTCTTGAGTGCCTCATCCAATCACATTATTACTGAATCATTCATTTAAAAATTCATGAGCATTAAAACTAAAATGTGGGAGAGCCCCCTCGTGCATAAACCACATTCTCTTAGCGCATAGGGAACATTGTCAAGTAGTACGGGAATAACTGTTGATGCTTTAGAAGGCACCAATTTATGATTTACATTAAGATTTGCATCCATCCTAATGCTTGTATTTGAGTCTTCTTCAATTTCGTGTAGAAGAGCTTCTTCCAACTCAGGCGTTCTAACACTCAAAGCTGTTCCAGGAACTGGATCTTTCTGAAGTGAGCCTGACTCTGAAAGACGTTGAAAAATATTTCTGAACATTCTTGGATTTGGAGTTGGATGATTTGGATATCTTTCGATATAAATTAGCCTAGCGAAACTTAAAACTTAATCTTTTTAAAAAATAAGCTTAATTTGACAATACACAATATTAAATAAGATTATTCATTATTCTTATTCTCACTGATTTGCATCATAAATCAGTTTTGTTGTTAATCGGTTTGGAATATAAAATAGTGTAAAGAAACAAAAAGTGAAGACAATACAATGGCACATGTGATGATCTATTTTATTTGTAATATTATACAGGGTGACATATTTTTTTTGGCAAATGATAGATGATACCCATACCTCCACCACTGGTAAGTTTCTAAAGCTGGTAATTTTTTGTTTCATACCTACTGTCATGCTAAATATGCACACCGAATTTGGTTAAATTATCTCAAGCGATTTAGAAAGTAAAAATTAAAAACTGATTTTTTTTTTAAATTTTTGACACAATGGCTGTCCTCACATTTATATCCGCCCTTGGATTTTTGACCTGTACTTATGAAACACCCTGTATAATTATTAACATTACAATTTTGTGAAAATGGTTCTTTTTTTTAGGAAAAATAACGCTAATTAGTCAAAAAGTGTTCATTGCTGCCCATGAAGATGAATAATATTTTATTGTTGTGATTGTACTTAATTATCGGACCAGAGTATTGTTTTAAATTATTGTATTTATATTGAAAAAATTTGACAAAAATTTTAAATTTAATTTATTCAAAATGCTAGGCTTTAAAAAGATTTCAAGTTATGTTGTTTATTGGCAGTATTGATATCTGGCATATACAGGGTGTCCCTGAAAAGAATAGACAACGCTTGACCACAGGTTCCTTGGATGAAAATAAGACTATTTAGCCTAACTTACCTATATACAAAAGTGCACGCCTACTGAGATACAGCCTTCTAAATATAGAATAGATAACCTACTTTTTTTCAAATAATTTGAAAACTATTTTTCTTAGAAACTTCAAATTTGGTACACTTACTTTTTTATATAAGGGCAAGGTAAATATAGAATTTGGAGAGAATACATATACTGGACGTTCTATTTCTAGTGCCTGTGCGCCATTAAAAATAGGCAAAAATTCCGATTTATAAAAAATAATTTATAACTGCAGCCTCAAAGCAGGGAATAATAATGGAAAAACGTCACATTAAAAAAAAATAACTACACATTTTTGGTATTAGTATTATCAATCAATAGAATAAAATTCAACACTAATATTTTAAATAAACAATATCAACTAATAATGTAAGAAAGTCAACATTAACATTTTAAATAAACTGATATTTGAAATCACGTTAAAATAATATTACAGTAAATGCTCAGTTACTTTCTTGTTCTTAAACGCAAACATTAGTTCTTCGAAAATGAAAATGAATTTTATCCAATAATTGTGCATTACCTCTCAACATTAATTTCATGTTGTATTCTTTCGCTTATTCATTTTCTGTATTTACTGAAAAGTTATTTTAAACTGTGGTCCTCAACGCTTCCCAAATGAAATAATTACATGGGTTTAGGCCCGGGGATCGAGGTGGCCATTTTAAAGGAGCATTATTTTCCCTACTTATCCACCTGTTAGACCTTTAATAACCTGTAATACCTACCTGTGCCCTGTAATAACTGGTCTTTTAATACTCTATTAAAAGAACTTTTTGAAAGCCAACCTCTGCCGCTAAACGCCTTTTATTTACTTGAGGAATTTATTCGACCCTTTCCAAAATTTGTTCCTCCAGCTGAATAATTCCGGCCGTACATTATCCACGATTTAATGTTACAGGTAAAAAACGTCCTGTTTCCCGAAGGCGTCTCTCCGCATTAGTAAATGTTTTGTGATTTGGAGTTCTTCCATTACGAAATCTTTCAGCATATGTTCGAACAGTTGCACAACAATTTCCTTCACAGTAACCCAAAACTATTAACATATCAGTTTGTTCAGCAAAAGTATAAATTGCAATAAAAAACAAAGTAAGCTAAAATTAAATCACAGCTAGCTTGACACAGAACCTTATAATTATTGTTATGAATTTGTTTCTCTGTTATGTGGCACCTCGTACTAGAATGTTCTATTTATCTTAAACTGATTTTATGTGTAAAAAATGACAATTTTACTCAAAATCCATAAACGATATCAAAATTTTGTAAGACGCAAAAAATCTAAAATCTAAAATAGTGCTTAATTATGTCGTCATTGGCGTACATACAAAAAAGTTACGGGATAGCCAGTGGCGCAGAGGCACTAGAAGGAGAATATCGTGTGTATGTATTCTCTCCAAATTCTATATTTACATTGCCCTTATATAAAAAAATATGTGTACCAAATTTGAAGTTTCTAAGAAAAATAGTTTTCAAATTATTTGAAAAAATAGGCGTGCACTTTTGTATATAGATAAGTTAGGCTAAATAGTCTTGTTTTCATCCAAGGAACCTGTGGTCAAGCGTTGTCCATCCTTTTCAGGGACACCCTGTATATACGTTTTTTTTAATGACGCTCCCTGTAATTTTTGTACATAGTAACCATCACTTTCTAACACATTATGGATACAACACTCTTTTTGCCATATCTCTTACTATTAGAGAAAATTTACGGTGTTATATTTAAAAATAAATGGTAGTTTCCACTGAAAATGAGGCAATATAAATTATTTTCATTAAATTGACCGTGTCCTTTTACCCCTGGAAGTTAATTTGACATAAATCAGAGAATCCTGTTATAGGGGGTGTCATTAAAGAAAAAACACTACGTCGATTTCGCATTTTCAGTATTTTTATGGATTTTTTAAGAAACTTTCAGATCTCTTAAAAATATTTTTTAGTAATGACAGTATATATTGGTATTAATAAAAATTTTGAAGTTTATAGCATTTGATAGTAAAAGTGTTAAGGAGAAGCCAATTATATTGCCTCAAAAATTATTTAATTTAAAAAAGACATTTGAGATCTTAATAATTATATAAAAAGGTTTAATATACAATTTGATTTTTTTTTAATTAAACATAGTTAAGTATTAGAATTTGTGCGTCTTTTAGTTTGTTTTCATTTTTGAAAATGTTTCTATTCATCGATACTGTGATTTTCGTTTTTTTGTGTGTTTTACACATATTTGTTTCTTGTAACTGTTTACAAAATAAAAATATTAATTTGATAGTTTTTTTATTTGTAGAAAACATTTTTCAATAATTCTTATTCAGAAAATACATATTAAAAAATATACCAAACCAAGAAAAATAATTCGGTTAAAATATGTGCAATATGGTCGCTAAAATTTCTACAGGAAATTCCTGTTTTTTTAGCTGAATATTGATATTATATGGTAGTTTCCATATGGATTCAACGAGCAAAAAAATCGACCTCTTCGATTTTTTTGGAACTGAATTTTGAGATGTGGTTTTTTGTTTTTCTGAAAAAAATTTTTGGAGCTCTGGTGCCATGTCAAAATTTAGATCGTGACAGCGTTATTCCAAAAATGAAAACATATTTTTTCAAGTGGCCACCATTTTGCATCCTATCAAAACTTTTTTTTTTTTTCTTCAATCAGAATTTCATCAGCTTTTTTACCTGTTTTTTTCAGAATTCAAATTACTTTAAAATTTTCTGATAAATGAGAAAAATGGACATTTTTTTTTTCAAAATTGATTTCCTCAAAAACCCCACCTTTTATTTTCACCAAATTTGAATATGTTTTTCAAGGCCAAATAAGCTATCTTTTAGCTAAACGGCAATATGCCATCTTGCTTCATTCGGGTGATGCACATTTTGAGGCAAAAAAAATGTTTCAAGAGGATTTGAGTCAAAATGATGGCTACTTGCAAAAAAATATGCATTTTAGAAACTATCTCCTGAACGAAGCAAGATCGCATATTGCCACTTCTTTGGCTTTGAAAAACATATCCAAATTTGGTGAAAATAAAAGATGGGGCTTTTGAGAAAATCAATTAAAAAAAAAACTCCGTTTTTCTCATTTATTACAGAAAGTTTTAAAGCAATTTGAATTTTGAAAAACCAGGTAAACGCTGACGAAATTTTGCATTTTGAAAAAAAAATCGTTTTGATAGGATGATTTGGGTCAAAATGACGGCCACTTGAAAAAAATATGCATTTTCATTTTCGGAATATGCTGTGACGGTGTAAATTTTGACATGGCGCCACAGATCTTCAAAAATGTTTCTCGGAAAAATGAAACGGATCAAAATTCAAAGTAGATTAACATCCTAAGAGATCGATTATTTTTGTTCGTTGTATCCATATGGAAACTACCATATTAATTATGAAATTAAAGCATTTCCATCCTAAAGAAATAAATAAGGCTATTTCAATCAGTAACAGAACTAAGATTTAACGGGTAAATAAACTTGAAATTCGCTTAAATATTTATTATTTGCAAGTTAAAACACTCATTTCAATAAACATACTGAATAGTGAGGAATGTATATACATCTAACATTAAATCTATATTTAATACATGTACATCGCATATTTGATATAACATTTAAATCAGTTCATCTGGATTGAACATACCCTGTAAGTAATAACTCGCATTACATTCACTTCAAATCTACAAGAATTATGAATTTACCTTTGCACGACGAAGAATGGAATCCTTGCTAGCATCGTATGGATGATCTTTTGACGGAATTTCCAGCACTGCAGGAATAGGAGAATTGTGATTATCAATCACGTGCCTAATAATTTCTGCGATGTTTTGATTGATCAAAATAATGTCGATGTCATCTCGTTTGATGAAGCGTTTGAAACAATCTTCAATTTCGCTGACAGCAGTGTCTGATTGAACATAAGAATTAAATATTGGATATTTTCGGTTTTCCTACTTACTTTTATCTACAACTAGGAAATTGGGGTGACGATTTTTGTTGATTTCACCGACTCCACCCAAAAGAAACCCTACACAGGTATCCTATAATTAAAAAAATAAATTAATGAATAATGATTATCAATTTCTTACCTCATCTCCGATAACTGATATGAGTTTTCCTTTGTGTGCTGAGTGTAAAGCCATTCTTAGTGTTTTATTTTATATGTTATTAACAAAATATTGTGTATCGTCTAAAAATAACGTAATTCAATTTTAATGGTCACCTGACAACGGTCAGCTGATAAGGTCAGGAGGTTAGCTGTCATCTGATGGGTTGTGGATGGGATGGAACCAAACGGAACCATTGAATCATGGAAACTAGTCTCTCTGCATTGAATATTGAACTTTGAACTGAACTTGGTATCAGCGAGCAGTTATCCCTTAAAGTATATACTACATGGAGGAAATGAAATAGCTTACGGCACGGCGACAGTGTAGTCGAGTGATAGAGAGAGAAAGAGATATATTGCATTTATCTTTTTCTAACGTACGTGATTGGCTAACTCAGCTTCTCCCGCAACAATTAGAGAGAGAGAGAGCCCTAAATATTGCCTTTTTTCTCTATATCTACAACCACTTCAAACGTCTACACTTTTTAATTTTAACACGTGGTACGTGGTGCTTCCTGCTTCCTCCATGTTGTATATGCTCTAGAGGGCTTTCGTTTTGGCAAAAATAATACCCATAAGAGTACTAACTTTACTCTTATAGTACCACTACTTGCAATTAATGTCAGTTTCGGCATACGTTCAGAGCACAGATTGTTCAGAGTAACTCTAAGTTACTATTAATTTGCCAAATCGAAAGGCCCTAATTCTAATACCACAACTGACATTTGTAAATTACAAGTTAGAAATGTTAGAATGTCTGAAATGAGGTTATGTAGTAATTGATATTTTTTAACGGTTTTTTCTACAAATTCTAGAGTGAGTTATTTAATTTTGTGATTAAAACTAATTAACTAATCATGAAATTTTAGATGGCAAACAATAAATTAGCACCTATAAAAGAAGCAAAAGAAACATTTCAGTCACTTATGGAATTGTCTAAACTGTTGTGTACTGGATTGGAACCAGAAACTCTTGCGATTTGTGTAAGGCTTTGTGAGGCAGGCGTGAATCCAGAGGTGCTTGCTTCTGTTGTTAGAGAATTACGTAAAGAAGTTCAATCTGCACAAGAACAGTCATCTAGTGACCAAACTTAAGTTATGTATTATTAACGTGTTTATTTTTTCCTCATTGTTACAATTAAAAGAATATTGCAAAAATACGAAATTATTTATTACATAAACATAACAAAAAGAAAAAATATTACAATTCTTCCTTATAATTACCAGAGTATTTTCCAGGGTACACTTTTGATTCAATTGTTACACTCTTACATTTTTCTTGTTCAATTAAATATTCCTTTGCTGTCCATGCCTGAGATCCATCTTTGAATAAAAATATTGCTCTATTGTCATCCACAATATACCTAAAAATTCAATGTTAAAATATTGCAAAGGTTAATAGTTCAATTTACCTTTCCGCTTGTATGTGACTATTCCATAAACTAGTCTGCCATAATTTAGTTAACGTCTCAGTTTCATCTTTTGTTGGATTTCCAGACACCTCAACGAATGTCATTAATGTCCTTCCCTTTTTGGTGGCTTGAAGTAGACCTTCAGGATTATCTGGATCTAGATTATTTAAATCAAGCTGAGGCATTGGCCGCAAATGTTCAGGAAGTTCATCTTCTTCAAGAGGTTCATCATCTTCCTACATAAAATTTATTATAGTTGATGTGCTAAGTATAAAATATTTAATACCACACACCTCCCACTGATCAAGTAATCTTTCCATATCAGCATCTGTGTAGTCTCTTATATCCTTTTTTGCCCACTCAGGTTTTTCATCATCCTTATACTTTTTTGCATGGCCTGTTAAGATCAAGGAAAATATTAATAACACTAAGTACAACGAAGATTCCATAATCCAAAACTTCCTACAAGCCTTGGCAATTTATTTTTTTCTAGTGGAACGAAGACAATCTACAGAAAATGCACAAAATACATGAAAAAATTGGAACTATAACCTCTAAAATATTGAATGATTAGATTGAATGTTGAAATTGTTGTTGAGCTGTTAGGGCAGGGCTAAGCTAGGCTTGTTTTGGTTCTGTCAGCGGACAGCTGGGAGCTGGGATCACGACCACAAAACATAGCAGGAACTCGCCGCCATTATTCCATGGCTAGAAATTGGCCTCAATGATTTGGGATCGAGGGTGATTATCCCTCTTTATCCTGCCTCATCTCGTGTAGGCCTGGACAGCCTTCGTAGGTGGGCCCCATCCGTCGTCTACCCCGACCGCAAATGCGGC